AGCAATGGTGTCTCTCTGGAGACTAAGGTGTGTCTGATACAAGCCATGGTCTTTGCAATCACTTGTTATGCATCAGAAAGTTGGACAATGACTAGGGAGGATAGAAGAATTGATGCCTTTGAGCCATGGTGCTGGAGAATAGTATTGAATGTACCATGGACTGCTAGGAAAACAAACAGATTCATCCTGGAAAGGGTTAAACCGGGTTACTCCTTGGAGGCAAGGATTCTGAGGCTCTGTCTAACATACTTTGGACATGTTGTAAGAAGAGACCGGTCCTTAGAGAGGGACATCATGCTTGGGAGGGTGGAGGACAGCGCAGGAACAGAAGGCCCTCTATGAAATGGATTGATTCAGTGACTGGGGTAATCGGGATGGGTGTGTCAGAAACAGTGTGATTGGCACAGGACAGAGCAGAGTTTAGAGCTGTTGTACATAGGATCGCTATGAGTCGCAAGTGACTTGACGGCACATAACAACAACAATAACAAAAATCATTTGTTGTTTCAACATTTTTCCTGTGTACAATTCAGTGACAAGTTGTTCAGCTATCATTAGCTGTTTCCAAGATTTCCCATTTCCCTTAGCATCTTAGTTTTCCCTAAGAAGAGAATCCCCTTTTCCTTCCCCCGACCCTGCCCCTTATCTGTATCCAAGGCTGGACGATGAATCAGAAATATCTAAGAAGAACTGATCCAGTTGTATCATGCTGTTGACAGAGAGCTTTCAGAAGAATAAACTCATCTGTCTGGGATGAGTGCTCCTTAGAATCAAGGATTGAGAGATGTCGCTGCACTATTTGGGGCATTTATCAGGAGAGACTAATCCTTGGGAAGAACATCATCCTTGCTAAAGAATGTGAGCAAAAAAGAGGCAGCTCATCAACGAGATAGGCTGGCCCAGTGTCTACAAATGTAGGCTCAGACGTCACAGTGATTGCAAGGGGCCACTGCATTCCCTGCTGTTACACAAGGTCATTATGAGTCAACACCAGCTTTAACAGCACCTCACAAGCTCTGCCCTGGTCGCTTCTAGTGGACTTCGTTTATACACTCATGTGCTCTAGATACTTCATATAAATGAGATTATACAGTATTTTTCCCTTTGTGATTGGCTTATTTCAGTGCTTATGTGAAACTTATACTTGGACCAGGAGGCAGTCATTAGAACAAAGTAAGGAAGCACTGCATAGTTCAGAATTGGGAAGGGTGTGTGTCAAGGATGTATTCTATCTCCATATCTTTTCAATCTATATATGGAACAGATTATCCGGGAGGCTGGACTCTATGAGAAGTGTGGCATCAGGATTGGAGGTAGACTCATCAACAATCTGCATTATGCAGATGACACAACCCTGCTTGCTAAAACTGAGGAGAACCTGAAGCGCTTGCTGGGGAGGGTCAAGGACTGCAGCCTTCAATATGGATTGAAGCTCAACATCAAGAAAACAAAGATTCTCACTACTGAGCCAATTGGCAGCATCATGATAAATGATTAAGCGATTGAGATTGTTGACAGCTCCAGTTTGCTTGGCTCTACAATCAACACTCTTGATACCAGCAGATAGAAAATTAAAAGACGAATTGCATTGGGAAAGTCTGCTGTCAGAAACCTCTCCAAGGTACTGAGGAGCAATGATGTCAGTCTAGAGACTAAGATGCACCTGATACAGGCCATGGTCTTTGTAAGTGCTTGCTATGCATCAGAGAGCTGGACAGTGACTAGGGATGATAGAAGGAGAGTTGATGCCTTTGATCTGTGGTGCTGGAGAAGAGTATTGAATGCTAGGAGAACAAACAAGTTTGTCCTGGAGAGGGTGAAGCCAGGCTAGTCCTTGGAGGCAAGGATTTTGAAGCTCTGTCTGACATAGTTTGGACATACTGCAATGCGGTATCAGTCCTTGGAGAGGGATGTCATGCTTGGGAGGGTGGAGGGACAGCACAGGAGAGGTGACCCTTGATGAGATGGATTGATTCTGTCACTGGGGTAATGGGAATGGGTGTGGCAGAGACAATAGGATTGGCAAGGGATAGAGCAGGGTTTAGGGCCGTCGTAAATAGAGTCACTATGAGTCACAGGAGACTCGACAGCACCTAATAACAACATGATGCTTTCAAGATTCATCCACATCATTATGGATTGAATTAACATAATTGCCCTCCTAAAATATATGTGACAAAGCCTAACTCATCCATCTCATTAGGTCCTTGGCATGTTGTTGTTATTGTTGTTAAGTGCCCTCAAGTAGAGTCCAAGACAATTCATAGAGACCCTATGAACAAAAGATCTGAACACTTTATAACTTTCAACATTTCTCCACGTTCGTAGAGTTTCTAGATCTGAACACTTTATAACTTTCATCATTCCTCCATGTTCATAGAGTTTCTAGAGGTGAGCGATTACGGAAATGGATGCCACTCCTGCTTCCAAGCTTGTTTTAATCAGGGAGCTCCACCAAAAACATGGAGAAATGATGAAAGTTATACAAGTGTTCAGGTCTTCCGTTCATTGGGTCACTGAGTCATCTATAACCCAATGGCTCTTAAAAACAACAACAACAACAACATAGACAGAGCTCTGTTAGCCTAGTGGATAGAAAGTGATGCTACCAGGCCAAAGGTGGGTGATTTTAATCTGTGGCACATAGGCCTCCTTTTAATTGTTTTGGCCAAACATTCTTCTAAATGGTATAGCACTGGTCTTATCTTGTGGTTGCCTTGGCATGTTAACAAGGCAATACCACCGTAAGATGTGTTTTAAATCAACCTCTTGAAATAATGAAGATTACACTAATAATCAGGAGATGGGGTATGGTTGAGGTCAGAACATGTGAAGATCTCCAGGGAACTAGAAAGCAGATGCTGAAGAGACACACTCCTCCCTGCAGAGCCTGCAGAGGGAAAACTTGCTCCTGCAGTTGTGTTGTGGTTGGTTTTGTTGTGATTGTGTTGGAACCACCTGGAGCTGGCCCTCCAGAGGCAGTAAATCATACAAGAGGAGACTACCCGACTGATTGCTCTACCGTTAGGGCTCTGAGTTCTGACTTCTGAGTCCTGGTGGGGTTAAGTGCATGAAAAGCACTGGGTTGCTAACTGAAAGTTTGGTGGTTTGAACCTGTCAGCTGCTCCTTAGGAAAATGGGGCATACTGCTCCTGTAAAGATTTGCTGTGTCAGAAACCCTCTGGGTAGTTCAACTCTGTCCTGATGAGTCACTCCAAGTTGGAATGGACTTAATAGCAGCACGTTTGGTTTTATTTTATGCTGAACTTTTTGAGGGTTGTCACATGGCAGGAAAAGGCAAAACTCATTGCTCTTGAGTAATTTCTGGCTTGTGGTAACTCCATGTGGACAGGCCTCTGGATGGGAGGGAGCCTGGGTCCGCCCTGGCTCTGCCCCACCACAGTGACGCCACAAACAGATGCTCCTTGGCAACACTGCATGTGTGCCATGGCCTTCTGATTCAGACAAATCATTTTGCCAACAAATTGCCAAAATTTAAAAGTCACTACATTTGATCCTTGTTATACACATATTCCATCATTGCAAATCTGCCTGTTCACTAAAATGTATTTATAATCAGCAAATCAATCAATACTCACTGTACTTCTGTGGCTGTTTCCAGACATGCACAGAGTGATGAGAAGTTAGAATTGCCCAGTGCACGTTCCCAGCTGAGCCGGGGTGCTCTGCTTCAGCCTGTACTGTGACCAAGTGTCCTTTTTTATCTAGTGCCCTTTTTTTTTTCTTTTCTGCATTTTGGGTTTGTTTTCTTGGTAATTTTCCTGCTTAAAATGCCCCTCAAGTGTCATGCTAAAGTCCTGCCAATGTTACCAAAGTAGAAGAAGGCTTATAAAGAAATGCATGTGTTAGATAGGCTTCATTCAGGCATAAGCTCAATATTGATGAGTCAACAATGCAATAAGGCATCTTTAAACACGAAACTCAGACCAGACCCACAGCTGCCAAGTTGATTCCACTCACAGCAACCTTATGAGGTGGACTGGAGCTGATGCTCCCTAGGCCTTCTCAGGCTGCAGATCTCTATGGAAGCAGATTGCACTATCTTTTTCCTGCAGAGAACTGGTGATTTCAAACTGAACTTTGGGTTAGCAGCCCAGCCTTCAATCCACTGCACCACCAGAGCTCCTTTCTTTAAAGGGAAACACACATGAAATAAAGTTATATATTGATCAGTGGACAAAAAATATTGTGACCAGAGGGGGCTCGTGACCAGGGACCCCTGCAGTGACTGTGAGACCTCAGTGTCCATGCTGTGAGGCACCAGGTGGGGGCCAGAGCAGGGCTCAGTAACTATGGTGGCAGTGGTGGCTGCCGCTATATGGATAGAAGTAAATCATCCTTTGTGGTGTCTGCAGGCAGCCTGGGACAGAGCCATGGACACTGCATACAAGAAGGAGGCAAAGAGCAGAGTGGCAGCCACTCCCTCCTCCAGATGTACCTTGTTTTATCTTGGGCATTGAAAAAGCATCACCATTCTGTGTGTAGGGAGCTCTTATTATTTGTGGGAATTATGTTCTATATAGTCACTGTGAACTTTGAACTGGAAAATACCAAGCTGTTGCTGCTGGGAGAATACAAAGGTAGGTTCCTGCAAGCCTCAGGCCATAATATTAATATCATAACAGTAAATTGCTCTGAAACAGATGGCCCACCTTTCTCCCACAGAGCTGCTGGCAGATTTGAACCAAGTGCCTTTGGGTTGACAGCTCAACTCCTTACCACTCAGCCAGAGTACTTGCTTTATTTAAGGAGCATCTCTCCTGGTTTCTCCATCTCTAGAAGTGCATTTAGTGGGTTCAGACACCATCTGTTCAGATGTCATCACTGGAGCTCAGTGCCAATGAGCATCTGCCATCCCTACTCCACTTAGCATGGGCTCACCGAATGGCGGCATCGGCTGTGGAGGCTTCTCCCCGTAGATGTCAGTGGAACCCAGGAGAAGGAACCTCTCACCTTCCTATCCTCCTTTCTTGCATTAGGACTTTGTGGTGGGGCTCTCCATCCTCCTACGAGGAACAGTGCATGAGAAGCTCAAATGGGCCTTTAATCTCTACGACATTAACAAAGATGGATACATCACCAAAGAGGTACCGGGGTGGTGGCCACTGCCCTCTCCCCTCCAATTGCCCACATCTTCTTCCTTTCTCTGGCCTCTCCTGTGGCCCTATAGACTTGTTTTTCCTGCCCATTCAGAAGTTTGGCTGGAAGCTCGACCCTCAGTCCTCAATTCCTGGTTAATGAGAGTGTAAGGTTGTGCCCCCACCACGTGTGTTGGTCCAGTGCAGTAAGCATGCACAGCTCAGTGATTTTTCTTAGATAAAGCCAGTAGGAGACCTGACAGAGAGGCAGGGCCTGGCCTTAGCCTAAATGAGCAGAGGACAGGGGTGTGACACCCTCTCCTTAAAGAGAGACCGCACGGGGAAGGGAGGTGGGGTTTGTCACACAGAGACCATAGTTTGTTTGGCTCAGATTGTTTTGTTTTTTTGTTTGTTTGTTTGTTTTTTAGTGTATTAAATAGATGCTGCTGTTTTAAAGTTTGGAGCTTGCACATAAAAACTAATCTCTGCCTCCTGGAGTCAAAGGCCTGGCTGTGCTAGCCAGGCAGGCAGACACTTGCTCCTCTCTGTGTGACTCGCCCCTCCCCCTCCCCCACCATTACCCTGTGGTGCCCTCCAGCCCTGGGTGCAGCCCGACCTCTCAAGAGTCTGGCCCTCACTCATGCCAGCCCTCTGGCCTCCTCTAGGAGATGCTGGCCATCATTAAGTCCATCTATGACATGATGGGCCGCCACACCTACCCCATCCTGCGGGAGGATGCCCCCCTGGAGCATGTGGAGCGGTTCTTCCAGGTGAGGGCTCAAAATCCCCTGAAAGTGAATAAAAATCACCCCTCAGCTCTGCTGAGGTGCACTGCAGGGGCAAGCTGAGACCTGTGGTTTTTGAGGTAATAGATCTGCCTCCAAAATAGGTCAATGTCCTGGTGTCCCAAGATCATATCTAGCCACTGCAATCTTCTGCCAGTGGAGATGGGGAGCTTACCTGTGCCCAAGAGGAAAGGGAACCCATCATGCAGTTTGAAAGGGCTGAAGGCTCAGACCCCCACTCACTGGGGGACCTCTAGTCACATGGCCAGCGATTCTGTGTCTCTGTTGAGCCCCTGCACTGGCTGCTGGTCAGCGTAGTAAGAATCCTGAATATGGGGACACATTCTGAGTAGCACAAGCCCAGGCAGGTAGTCAGTGAAGCGGAGGGATGGGGCAGGCTGGGGAGATGCTAGAGAGGTCAGCTTTGGGGGCCAAGATGGGCCTTGGGGTGCTTCTGGAGACTGGGCCCAGGATGGGTGTCCAAGTTGAGTGGGGTGGGAGTGTGGTGCCTGTGGGGGAAGGCACAGAGCCGGGCACTCACTGTCTGGCTGCGGCCCCACTGTGTCCACCTATAGCCACGTCCTCGGCTCTGGGAAAGGGTCACCCCGGTGGATTTCAGGCTCACTGTGACATGGCTTGTGTTGCAGAAAATGGACCGGAACCAGGACGGGGTGGTGACTATTGATGAGTTCCTGGAGACTTGTCAAAAGGTAGGCAATCTCAGAAGACTGGCAGCAAAGGCTGGCCAGAGGGGTGGTGGAGGGCCTCATACCCAGCCAGGCCCCCCAACACCCTGTACCACCCCTCAAGCCATCTGCTCTCCCCAGGGCCCCTCTCACACCCCAGGGAAGACTGAGCAGGTGTTTCTAAGCTTCAGTTAAACTCTCATGCCACATTCCTCCCCCTCCTGACCCTCTCTTCACCCGGATCTGTGGGCCCATCCCACACAGGCCCACTGATCTTACCTCCTCCCTCTGTAGCATCTGGGTTAAAAAAAATGGCCCCTGTGACCCCCAGGAGAGGGCATGCTGAGAGAACGGTGCCTTATGCCTCCCCAGCTATGTTGCTGACCCTTCCCAAGCAGAGCCCACATCCACTGACTCACCCCCAACATGTCTGGCCAGCTGCCTGTGGCCCCTGTTGGGGTGTGCAGCCAGAGAGGTCTTGTTGTCCTTCAGGCAGGGGGCCAGGAGTCTCAGGAAGGCCCCCTGAGCCCTACCAGCTGGGTGCGCCCAGGCATGCTGCTTGTCTCACCCGGGGGAGAGAGCAGTCACTGCAGGCAGAGAGCTAGGTACCTGGGCGGGGGTG